AAGATCTAAGTTCGGACTCTTTTGACGGAAAGCCTTTGCGTCTCGGATGGTCTTGAAACCGAGAACTCCGATGAGCGGATAATACACTGCAGAGCAAAAACAAAACCGAGTTACGACAGTCCTCGAAAATAACCGACTTCAAATAAGATGATAAAAATTCTACTTAAGTCTACCTGGTTGAAAGGAACTATCAGCGATTTCAGGGCAAAGACCGATAGCTTTTAATCTTGTGTTCTTCAAAATCAACTTGAAGCTGCGCTGAGTCTTCTTCAATTTGAACAACTCGGTAATCCTCTCCTTTAAAGTTGAACCGAGTTTCGATGCTTTGCTCTTGGCTGCAAATAACAAGACCTGTTAGTACAAAAATAAACAAGGTCAGAATAACTCGGTAAAAAGGAACACGGCGAAAAAACTTACAAATTGCAGAATTAATTTCGATGGGGATAGACATCCCATTAATTGTGGGTTTCGAAAAATTTGGAGTCTGCCAATCTCCTCCAACCCACAACCACTCTTCTTGAAACCCATGAAGCGACTCGGGAATGTCGGTAATCAAATCACCGATTTTCAGTCCTTCTTGAGGCCTTCATGCGCAGGCGTAACAGATAAGAGGATCTGCTACTTGTCTATCAGTGCATCGTCTAAAGGAATATAAATTCCTAATCTCATCAACTGTTGGCATGTCCCAACCCTTCTCCTTCAATAGCACCATAAGACTGATTATTCTCTTCCAAGAATTCGGTGCTATCTGACACAGACCGATCCCCCAACTCCTCAAATAGTCTGTGATCAGAGCCGGGAGGGGAAACCGAAGTCCAGACCTAAGGGAGTCGGCAAATACGCCAACGCAGCCCGGAGGTGGACAAGTGATCCTCTCGCCTGGGTAAGGCGCGAACAATTTCACCGACGAAGGGATATAGACCTCCTCCCGAAGGAGGACAATGTCGGCATCAGTAAGGATACTCGGTTCGCCTCTATACTCGTCAATTGGTTCCGGCCACCGACGAGCAGGACGTCTCCAATAATCCGGGAGCGACATAGCGTCCTCTTCGACTCGTTTGTCCTCGTCGATGATATCCTTATGGAGATATAACCGCTTTACCAGAAGAGGATCCCACCGATAATACTCGAGAGGCAGTTCCAAATCCTCATCGGTGAACACTGGGATATCAGAAATTGTTCGGCTACTACTATTCTCAGTTTGTGCAGACATCTTTCTCTCCGAAATCGATGAAAATACAAGAAGAAATTCGAAACAAAATAAGAAAACGAGAAAAATTAGGGCAAACTCTTACCGAAACTTTCGAAGAACTCTGGATTGATGAAAAGATCACAGAAAAAAAGTGAGTGCACGAAGAAAATAAGTAAAAGAAAGATTACTGAAGGAGCGCAAGAAAAATTGAAGAAGTTAAAGGTACAGAAATTTTTTGCGCCTCAAAACCGACTTTAATTTATAGGTTCTGATTTACGACCGTTGGAAGTATCCGGAAACGGCGCGTGTAACGGACGTGTCTTAAAGGGATACAACGTTACAGTAATTATTGATATACGTGGCCATACCTTGAAACGCCATGTCGTTACAATTTATATCCGTTGGCCCCATTAAATGAAGGCACGTCTTTTAAGAGCCGCCATGTCAGACCAAATGCCATCCAGAAAATGTCAAATATGGCAAAGTGTTTCTAAGTCGGTACGAAGAACAAAACAAGTCGGAATACAGTAGAACAACGTACGACTTCAGCAGCTATTCGACAAAATTTCAAATACCTACTAATGTCGGGGGCCTCACTGTTGATATCCGACTTGACCGCAAAATTGAAAATGGAGATTAATTACACTAAGGAGATGAACTTATTTTAAGTCGGTGTTTCTTAAAGCAAATTACCGACTTCTACATGGTTGCCGACTTCTGAAGAATTACCGACTTCCGAATGTCTTTAAAAGAACCGACATCTGAAGCCAAAACCGACTTCAGTTAAACCGACTACTACAAAGTCTGAACTTTCCAACAGAAAACAATCATTAGAGGCATTTAATTGGACCAACGGAACAAAAAGGCCATCATTGATGTTTCCCGCCGCCTCAAGCGAAGCAGCTCAACATTAAATACATCTTTATCCATTACGAGCAAAAAAGACAAAAGCTACCGTACTATAAATAGCAGAATTTATGATAGTACAAGGATCTTTTCGAACACATTGTACACGGATTACAAATGATCTCGGTTTTTATCTCATAACCGACTCCTGTACTCTTGTGAATACAACGAATAAAATTAAATAAAACAGTTTATCTTTATTTTCTTGACATCTACTGTGTTTAATTTAGAGTTGTTAATTCAAGACAACAACACAATCGTAGTTCAAAAGACTTTACAAGCAGTCCAAAATGAGCTCCAAGAATTACAAAACAGAGATAATATCTCTGAATATCAAAATTTTAATATCTCCGTTCTTAAAGAAAGAAAAAATATTTTGATATACTGCGAAAGAATATGTCTCTTCGGAGAAGAAAACCTCTCGGAAGAAGACAAACAAGTTTTGTGCTCTAGTATGGACCCATTCTGGGTACCAAATAGGTACAGAATACCTTCTACTTTTGTTCAACAAGTCTCTCCTGGTAATTTTCGCCTTGTACCGGAAGACGAAATACCCGAAAGGGTTATATATCTTCGACAACTTCGACAAGAAGCAGCGCGCGATTTTCGCGAAAGGATTTTTGGAAACCAAAAACCCATCTAATTAGTTTAAATGTTTCTTAAATGCTTTTTCAAAGCGCATGTCCAACAATCTGGTATCAGAGCCTGGAAACAGGCAAAGATATTATGAATTTAAAATAGTCAAAACTGTATGTTATAATAATTAAAGGGATAAAAACACCCAAAGTGATAAATAGCAAAATGCTATTGACACGCCTTGGGGTACTACCCTTACAGGTAGGATCGAATCTACCCCTTGTTTTGTAATTGCTACCAACATTAAATTATGGAATACAGTTTTTCCTATCACGAATCAATGTCCAGAATTTGAAATTACACATCGAATTTGCAGCATCGAATTTCTCGTAGTAAATTCATAATTAAAAAGAATATGACTATTGGTGTGAATTGATTTCATGTTAAAAAACAGTATTTTTCAAGTGAGTCATTCCACATAAAGATAGTCGCATATAAGGAATAATCATAAGGATATAAATTGGACGTGAAACTCATAGTCTTGATCATTATTCTCTAAACTATATAAAGTTGAGGTAAGCTCATCTTTTGGCCACTTTACGAACGAGACTCCAAACTCCAAAGACTTAAATTAAACGGGATAATTATTTCTACATTACAAGGAAAATGTGTTGTTGCCAGGACAATTTCCGTCATTCTAGACGCAAACACGAGTAAACCAAAAGGGGACCCGCTAGGATAAAAGGGGACCCACGAGTAAACCAAAAGGGGACCCGCTAAGATAAAAGGGGACCCGCTAGGATGTGCACTAGCGTTAGCCTTTTTCAAGGGTCACAATGATGATGCAGAACATAATAATTGCTGCAAAAATTCGAACCCTCTAGAGAGTGCAGAGGAATCGATTTGAAGGAGAGAGAGAGAGGGAAAATATATTTTTTGAGATTTGACTGATAAATCAACCATTCTAAAACCATAGATTTTGTTTATTGATTAGCCCTCTCTCTCTCTCTATTTATCTCATTCGAATTGAAGCTAAAGGGGCCGTGTAGTTCGTGTTCTGTTGTTTTGGAGGGATAATAGTTGATTTCTAGTTTTGAGTGAGAATTTGAAAATGAGCGGCAAGAAGAGGAGAAGAATGAAAAGATTATCAGGGTTCTGATGAAGCTCCCTCCTAATCGCCGATACATCAACTGCAACAGCTTGGTAATTCTTTTCATTTGTTTTTAATGTGAAATGCGTATCAGACCACAAAAAAACTTCAAAAGAGGATAAATTCATCCCTTCCCTGCCAATGGAGAGAAAGACTAAAGTTTTTTCTGACAAAGAAAACATTATAAACTGAAAAACGGCCCCTTAAAGCATCAAATCAAAATTGGCCACAAAAACCATGAATGTTACCAACTACCGCCAATAATCACTGAAAAACTTAGAAGGGAAAGGGAGGAGAAAGAGACAGAAAAATAAGTAAAAGTTGTCCATTTCTGCAGAGATTGTGTAAGCCAAATGCTTTGCAAACTGACTCTACACCTTCATTTAGATTTATGTAATTGATAAGATCAATGTGTAAAAAAAAAATTACACATGCTTTGCCAGGAGATTTGTCTAAAGCTTTCAAAAGGGTGGTCACTTATTGGAGAAGGTTCCTCCCTCGAAAGTATCTTTACAATCAAACCAATGTGAGTTGAATAAAACAGTTACATAACTTGGCCGGTTATAAAACAAGCCTCCCAATTGTGCTTAAGTGAGTCATAATTCTGCCATGTCATATAGTTAGCTAACCTAACAAGATTTAAAAAGACCAAATTTTTCATCCTCCGTTCAACAAATAACTAAAGTTGTGAGCGAGCATCATAGAGCGATGTACCCATATGTGACCAACTGTATGGAGAAAAAAAATACCAACTTTCCACTTAACAATAATTCTCTAGTAATACTGACACAATAACACTGACACAATAATATTCAATCATGAAGTATAACAATGAAAAACTTACCGACTCTATAATGAAAGCAAGTCCGGAGAGGATGATAGTATTCGTTTGGAATTTTGAGTGACATTTGAAGACTTTGAGATTTGAGACTTGAAAATTTTCAGGAATCCTACGAAAATCTTATTATGGATTTGGAATGAGATTTCGTACAAAGGTTTATTCTTTCAGCTGAAAATCTTAAAAATGTGTAACAAATTTTAATCTCAAATAAGTTAAAAGACTTTTTTAAGACTTTCAAAAATCTCAAATGAAGACTTTAAAAGTCTTCAAAAAGTCCATGTTAAATATTTCTAAAATCTTAAAGTATTTAAAAATTCCAAACGAGTACACCCTACTCACTCTTGGCTGGGGAAGAACCACATAGGCCCTGGGAAAATCTTCTTGAGTCTCCGGGCATCTACAGGATAATAACACGGTGACACGGTCTTCTTCTCGTAATCCAAAATCCCAACATCGTGGCCGTTGATCAGTTCATCATTCTCAAACACCTCGGTGTCTTTCAAATCCGTGAAGTAAATGGAGTTGGGCCTGAGCCCAGGCAGCTGGGCCGCAGGTAACGCAACCGCGTGGCTGCAGTTCCCCACGAAAACAGCCCAATTCCCGAGAGAGGAGCACCTCACCAGATCCCCACCCTCCGAGTCATGCGCTTGTGGGCCCACTGGGGAAACCCGCGTAGACTCATTCGGTCTGCAATCCGAGTCGAGACAGGGGAAGACGGGTCACATTCGGCCCATCATTCCCTCCAATTTGTAGATAATCACGGCCCGGCAGGTTTCATCGTCTGGGGAGGAGAAGAGGATGATCTTCTCCACGCGAAACGGGTCGTAATCCTGTCTGTGGTTGTAATTCGGGAGTTGGTGAAATGGGGTAAGGGTTATGTGGCGCCGGGAGATGGGGTTGTAGAGGAACAGATCGTGGGTGCGGGGGTTCCAAAGGGCGACCCAGCCGTGGGAGGAGCCCCGGAAGTGCATCACGTCACCGCTGCCGGTGACTTCTCGGGCCGCACCTTCGCAGGTTAGGGTTACGACCCGATTCTCGGCCAGGCTGTAGAATTTGTAAGCCGCGGTGGTGGTGGAGTCGGATTCCAAGACGGGGGGGAGCATTAGCCAAGGATATGATGTTGGGGAAGATGAGGGTGGAGTTGTTTGCGTCGTCGTCCGGTCAGTGCTCATCGGACGGCAGGGTAAGGGCTTATATTCGCTGCGAATACGACAGAGGGGGAACGCTTTACGGCGAATCGTACGGGCTACGACGAGTGATAAAGAAGCCACCGATGATTGGTTGCTACGCGCTGTCATCTTCGTTCAGCCATTTGAGAAGCACAGATTAGATAGATGTGTGACCGCGGCCATCACTTTTCTTTTCAGGGTTTTTTTCTCGCTACATACTTTGTATGCAACTAGTATAGAGCCCGTGCGATGCACGGGGTGCACAATTTAAAGGCTATTTATCCAGGCTTATAATTATATATAAGAATAAAGAAAAATATACGGGGTATATATAGTACGTGATCCGTGCGAAGCACGAGATATATTTATTTGGAGAATATTATATTGTAAGATGCAATATTCAATAAAAGTTTATAATACGCAAGAAAATTGTATAATGTTCAATAAAAGTTTTTTAATATTCAAGTGGAGTCTTAAAGTCTCTTGTACATTAAGACTACTGACAAAATAATATTTTAATCATTAAGTTTCTTTTCCCAAATTGTGAATGTGATTTGAGGAGTACAACAAATCGATATATTGCTGACTTGCTTTGTTCATTGTAGTTTTTTTTCTTTTTTTATAATGAATTTAAAGATATTCTAAAATATAGCAAAAATTAATTTTTTTTATTACAATTAGGAATTTTACTAAATATAGACTCTCAATCTATGGTGTTAATCAACGTTTAAGTCTAAAAAATTAGGAATTTTTACCTCTTTTAATCAACGTTTAAGTCTAAAAAACAATAGAGTTATTATAAGTTTTTTTCTACATCTTTTAAAACATTAAATATGAACATGTTAGGCTAGCTTGAAAAATAATTAATATATTATCTCACTAAAATATTTATACTAATAAAAATTTAATTTTAGCATATAAATTTATCCCTTGATATAAGAGAAAGTAAAAGTTTTACTTATTGTTGTTCACCATATAATATTTAATTATTATTTTATTATATAATAAAAAAAGAATATTGTTAAATAGTGTAGTAGAATTGTTATAAAATTATATGATTTTTTTTTTTTACAATATGGATTTAATATTTTTTTATGATTTGATAATATAAACAAATCTATACTTAACTTTGACAAATAAAACAAATAAATACTTTAGTAAGTATTTAATGTATATACTAAATAGGAATATATTTGGTATAATCAAATACCAAATATAATCAAATAAGTCAAAGTGTACATTTTTATTTGGTATTTGATTTTTTTATTACTAAAATCTTTTTATTATACTTACTTTTTAAAAATAAAATAAATCAATTAAATAAATAAAATATTATAATACCAAAATAGTAATGGCATTTAATACAGTTGACTTTTTTGGATAGTAAATGTAGTAAATAGAATCTCCTTTTATATAAGTATAAATATGATATTATATTATGTTGCTCAAAATAGTAATGCATTTATTGAATTGACTTTTCAACTTACTAAATTTCGTAAATAGTACACTTTATTATATAAGTATAGATTTGGACAATGAAATTTACAAAGGACACTACGATTTATTGGAATTTCATAAACACTGGTACACTGCCTACGTGTCTTGAGTTAAAAAATATATTGTATAATTTATTACTAAAATAAAAATTTTATTAAAATTTTGATGGACTAATTGATGAAAAAAAAAAGAATAGACAATGCAGAAAGTAATTTATAAATTGTAATTTATGAGAGAAATATAAGAAAAAAATTATAAGATAGTAAGATTGCTACTTACCCAAATTAAGAAGGAAATCTATATATAGTAAGAATAATTATTTGCCAAAAATAGTAACAAAAAATATTCAGAATTTAACGCAACACATAAATTGTAAGCTTTATTACTTTTCTTATTTTTTCTTTATAAAATCATACATCATTAAATGTTGTCTTAAATTTCTAGCTTTAGTTCATTTTATTATTTAAAAATTCAGGCTAAGATCTATTAAGTCAAGTGTCCATGTTTTTATTTTTATGTTTTTTTCTTAGAAACAACGAACAACACAAAAATCTCAGTCTCTATATTTATGAATTCTCAATTCAAAAGGCAATAAAAGTTATAGAATCTCGGTCTTTATATTTGTGTCTTTCAAAAAAATATATTGAACGCTAAAAATATTCTTTAAATATTATTTTCCATAAATTATGGCAATTTATTTATTTGAACGTGTGATAATAAACTTACTTAGTAATATTTACCAATCTATTTTTTATAAAAAACTCGATTTCCAAACGTAATATAATTTTCAAAATCTCAGTCTCAATAGTTGTGCATTTCATAAAAAATATTTATTGATATATATTATTTGCTAATAGTACACGATTTTAAAAACTACATTATAAATTGTATGTTGATATCCAAATCATTTTATAATTGCAACCGGCTTTATTAAATCTCCACGAAAATATGGTAAAACAAAATGAGACGATCAATTTTGTATGCAAATAAAATAAAATAAATAAATCAATAAATAAATGGTCCTAATTAAAAATGGCATTAAAACATAATCAATCATCACATTATGTACAATTAAAAATAGTGGTTCTCACCGTTCTCACACTAGCACTTAGTTCTCTTTTGAACCACATTCTATATATATATATATATATATATATATATATATATATATATATAAATAGAGATATTGATATAAATATAGATATAGATTTCTTTCTTAATTTGGGCAAGTAGCAATATTACCATCTATAATTTTTTCCCATATTTCTCTCATAAATTAGTCCATTAAAATTTTTAAATAAATTTTTTATTTCAGTAGTAAATTTACAATATATTTTAGTAATAAATTTTACAATATATTTTTTAACTTGTGAAATCCCAATAAATCGTAGTGTCCTTTGTAAATTTCATTGTCAAATCTATATATATATATATAATAAGAATTACCATTTTTAAAAAATGACAGGTCAAATTAATGGTCAAACTCAGTCAGCATTAATGACTTGCTATTCATGGCAATTTTTTTACTTTTTTTAAACACGTACAACATTAAATGTTGTCAGTACCATGTGGAGATGTGGATTTTATTACTGTTTTAAATTTACGGCTGAACGAATGTGATTAATTTATTATTATTTCAATTCAAAGTGATGCGCTGTAGCTTTTTTGGAAAACAAAATTAACTCGATAATAACTTGACTAATCTCACGCCCGTTTCCAATATTGTAGCATTTTTTTTATATATATTCAGAAGTAATGATTTAGTATGAATATATAGTTAATCTATAAATCGAATATGCAGCTTGGAATCCCAAAAAAATGAATAAAATTTACAAATATACTTATCTAATTCAAATAATGTTATGAATATAATACATAATTTACAATTTTACAAATTGTTATCCTGATTATTTTATAACTAAGATTTATAACTATAATCATATTTACAGGGAATGAATTCACGGGAGACACACTTGGCTAATACAATTGTTTCTTATAGATTTAACATAATCGGGTTGTCCCTTTTTTATTTGGTATATAAATTGGCAATTCAAATTTCAAAATCGACAAGCATCTAATCATTCCTTATATGAAGGATGCCATAAATTTTGGACACTTTAGTATAAGTTACAGTGTATTAGAATTTACCGTATTATGATATTTCCTAATTAAAAAAGAAGTAATATTAACATTATTTAGAAAATATCTGATTTCCATATCATACAATACCATATTTTTTTATGTTATAAAAATTCCAATTTCGTATCATACAATACAATTTTTTTTATCTTACACGGTATTGGCTTGCATTTGGTAACTCTCGCGGTGCATTTGGTAGCAGAATTTGGTAATCTAAGCATGTATTTATCAAAATATCATTTTAAATTGAAGTATACAATCGATATTAAAAACATATTATCTACGATAAACCATTATTAGTATGTATTTAAGATTAATAGCAGATTTGTTGAATATGAGGCGTGCAATTGTTAATCAATTTTTTTAACATAATGATAAGATAAACATTGTATGAAATTAAAATCAAATCAACATTAAAACAAGATTAATCTTTAAAACCAGTATGCCAATTGTACACGGATTCGAGTAAATAAATATTGCAGTCAAAATCGAAACAAATTTCAATTGTACACGTGCATTTCAAATTTATGAGATAAAATTCCATTGATCCATGATCAACATCTAAAAAATCCGATTTTGGGAACATACCTAACCAACGTGATAAGAACACAGAAGTTAACATAAAAATACTTTATTACGTGAATGCGATGTAGTCCAAACTCCAAATAATAAGATTAATAATACTTTCATGACAACATGTTTAATGATTTATGAATATTTATATATCACTTTATTTATATTTATGTGAAAAAATAATATTTATTATAATTTATATTAATGTACGGTAAATATAAGGTTCTCATAACCAGAACGTCATCGAAACGATCAAGTTATTTTATTCAGTAATTTGTGGTTGTTCAAGTTTTAATTTTATAAATTTTTTCCTATATATATAAAAATAAATACATATAGTACTTTTGTAATAAATTAAAATAAAAGGTGTTACTTAAATATCAAAACAATTTAAAAATTCAAATGTTTAAACTAACTGATAAATAAATCTCCATTTTATTTGAATACTTATTCTTATGTAAAATAATTTAAATGTAACAAATTTATTTAGAAAATCGTGTCGATCTTGCCAGTCCGATCGGCTGGTGTTGACGGGTTCGATAACAAACATTTTATTCAAGCGAACTAAACTGATTATAAACGATACTCGGTCCATCCGACCAGACTGTCCAACCCGATTTAATTTAAAAACCACGAGTGAATCATTATTAATTTTATTTATATATTTAATTTATAATACAGTCATAATAAATTAGAATTTTATGTTTAAGAAATAAATATGATGTGGCGTGTGACATGGCGTTCTACGTGTACGCTGACGTGGATGCCACGTCATTTTTCCGATCAGCCATGTCAGCAGAGTTGGCCAGAATATGTTTTCGAGACAAATTTGCAATACTTATTAAAGGTTGAGTATTTTCTTGCCAAACTAAAAAAGATGAGTTTTATTTGCAATTAACCAAAAGGTTATGGTTTTTCCT